CGATGCCGGACCTCGCCGGAGCCGCCGCCCGCCTCGCCCGCTGCCGCCGTTGCTGATCCGCCTCGATGATCTGGATAACCGGTATAAAACCGATCCGGTTTTCTCAGTTTAGTTTCGTTTTTTTAAGTTCGGTTTATTAGGTTTAGATCGGTTTTATATTTAGTTCATTATTTGACGAACATTCACCCGTTAGTTTCTGTTAATGAACGAATTCGTTCGTTACGATCTGTTAGCGAACGTCCGTTCTGTAGATTTTTATTTTTAGTTTTATTTTCGGCCAGGGACCTATCTGCAAATAGTTTTCTCGCGATTTAGCCCCTGATCTTAAAACTAGCGTAACTTTTTGCTCGCTTATCCAAATTAGATGAAACCAATGCCTAAACCTTAGTAACGATCTATTCTTTCTAGTAAGCCAGTTTGAACATGATTTTGACAAATTAAAATTTGAGTTTAGTTCAGATTAATTTTTGATCTTGTTTCGTTTGTATCTTGAGTTTCGTAACTCCGTTTAAGTTGATCCTTTTTGGGAATCGTAGGTAATCACATGTACCTACTGTTAAGATCTAATCCACATGAAAATGATGCTATTAGGTTTTCTTTTCTGTTTAGTTTAGTCATTTGCTTGTTTTGAGTTTTATTTAGATCTTTTCTTGATTTCTCTTTGTTTTGTTTGAGTAATTGCTTATGTATGCTACTATTTGTCTACGCTAGATTATCCAGAGTGCGAAGCTTGTTACTACGAATCTCTAGAGTTTGCAGATCGTCGGCAAGGCAAGTTACACTTTGATCATACTTTTCTATACCCAGTTTTTACTATGCATTAGTAGGTGTACCGGTCTGCCCGGAGTAGAGACTTAATGCTTCAGAAAGACTATGTCTCTATCTTCCGATCATGGATGCCGTCGAGTCTTGTGGGGAAAAGTGCGCAACCTCTGCAGAGTGTATAAACTAATCAGGGTTAGCCGTGTCCCCGGTTATGGACATCTTGAATATCTGGAATTGGATATTATTGTTGATCTCATCACTTTTAGTTAATTGAATTGTGTTTAATTGATGATACTTCTTTAATTGGGATTTGAGTTGGAGGAACCTTCTCAAATAATGGTACAACTTGGGAGTAGTAAATGAATTTATTCCTTTGTTGTAGGCAAAAACTAGCTTTATGCAAAATCTTAAACTTAGAGCCTCCACTAGCCAAATATTGCATGTAGATATAGTTCTTGCATTCATTGCTTTTACTAGTGGACCCATTGCACCAAATGGCGCAGAGACCTGCTGATTTCATGTTAGCGATGAAAAGAAATCCATGGTTTAGTTGATTTAGTTTCGGGCAAAGCACATATGGCGAAAAATTTAACGAAACATGTAATAAATAAATATAACACATATGTCTGCTTGAACTTCAAATACTACATATCATCGATAACACTATTTAATTAAAATAGAAAGAAATGATACCTACACCATCTCATTATTGGAAGGAGATAACACAAATGCAATATAACTTAATATAACATTGCTATATCTTTTCTATATGCTGATAAGACCTTGTTGTATTCTTAAAAACAACCTAGCTATTAATTTATACATGGATGTGACCTTTTCGCACCATTTGCATTTTTAATATGGCTCTAGTTATACGCATGAAACCATGTTTTCGGTGGAAATGACGCGCTACAATCTGGTCTTAAAGTAATAGCTGAACCTGTTTCAAAAGTGTGAGCCAAAGCTCACCTTGCTCGAATTTCTTTCATTAATTTGACCTACTCTTTTCTCCTTGAAAGAATAGACTAACCTAAGTATTATCAAACAAATTTTCTGAATTTTGTATATGACATCATGCACTAATCTCCCCACTGAAGGAATGCATACATATACTATGTACTACACAAAACCACACACATGTCACTTATAAATACACCGGGAAAAGCAACAGTTCAGTTATAGCACCAAAATTCGTCATACTGATAACACCAATGGTCTAAAGCAGTTCCAGATATGTAACTTATATAACCTCCGCTGCTTTGTCACAGACTCAGGACATGTTCTAGTGCAGAAGTCCTTTTGGGGTCAGCCACAAACAAGACATGTTTGGCACTGTGCCTAGGGCATGGCGATTTGCTAGAATAGAAAACGGACACATCAAACGCAAGCAAGCGGTCTAAGTATAAATCACCGTTCAATTGCAGTAGCAGTGCAGCTGGAAGGAGACCATCACTGATTTTTGAAGTGTAGTGCGTGCATGTATACAGAAATGCAATCAGGGAGAAATGAAGCAATAAATTAGCTGGCAGATCAAATAGATATCATAATACAGAGCAAATAAATTCAAGTGCACACCTCGCCTGCTAGTGCTTGGTAACATACAACAAGCCTTCCTGAGGAGCAGTCAGCTTTTATCCGACTGGACTATCCTCTAAAGATTTTTAAGGATCGACTAGAGATGCTCTTACATCCACTAACCAATTGGCTGAAAGTTGACATCCTAAATATTGTGGAATACTCCCTCCGTAAAGAAATATAAGAGTGTTTCGCTCTTATATTTCTTTACAGAGGGAGAATAACTTAACTACTCCAAAATATAAGCACCACAGCAATGCAGAGTCAGCTGCTACCTTCTACATTGGAAAGAATATGGTATGTAACATATACTGAAACTGTTCAACAAAATCATCTTTGCCCACTGAGGGATGACGGTCATTTTCAGACATCGAAAGAGCGTGCATGTACATCCATACATATTTACAAAAAAGTAGGAAATATAATACAACAGAGGATAACCGGATCATTTCTGATGGACACATCGTCGCCAAGTGTTAACCAGTAATGACAAAACTTTCAGTCATCATCCTTGAACTCCCTGGTTAGTCAACGAAATTAAGAAACCATCATCCTGCAGGCCATGCGCGAACCGGCACCGGCCCCCGTAGGAGCAGGCGCCGCCCTCCCACTTGTTGCACAGCTCTGTCTTCTGGGTGCCCTGCCTGTACGCCTCTAGCTCGACCACTTCTCCATCCCCCTTCGCCTCGTCCTCCCCTGCCTGCTGCAATCACCATTCCCCATTACAAGATCAGTCATACTGATATGAATTCCCAATGAAATTTCTCGAATTGAGTGTTTAGTTTCGTGAGTTAGCCAAATCAATACCCTATCTCTTCGCTAATGACGACTTTGTAACATGAAATTGCCAACAAGTAGCCAATTCAATACTATTTCTGAAGAAAAATCAAGCAAGTTCAATACAGTTTCTTCCTGCAATTCAATCCCAAGCAAGCCATGACGTGATAAGAATTTGTGTGGTTCCAACTTAACATAGGAAATTCCTAATCAAGTTGCAGCATAAATTAAAAATATCGAGTTGTAAGTTTGGCTTCATCAAGCAACTGCCAACACTATGTAGGTTCAAAGCTACAATTGTCAAGTACAAAATTATGAACACAACCTGATACTGAATGCAATTGGCAAATCGTTTATAGAACGTAATATTGCCAGAGTTTCGTCTGATTTTTCAGGTTTAAACTTTCCTGCTAACCATATAATTGCGTCACAAGCCTAATTTCTCCTCGATTAAGCGACTTCGACTCACTGCATCAGACATCTCCTTTGTTTGAGATACATCCATTTATTTGGAATATTGCCACTTAGCCAAAATGTTTGAGAAGAAGAAACAGGTATATTCAATACTTCTATTATCAAGAAGAAGCATAAAAGGCAAGGTGCAATTGGCAAATCGTTTATAGAACGTAATATTGCCAGAGTTTCGTCTGATTTTTCAGGTTTAAACTTTCCTGCTAACCATATAATTGCGTCACAAGCCTAATTTCTCCTCGATTAAGCGACTTCGACTCACTGCATCAGACATCTCCTTTGTTTGAGATACATCCATTTATTTGGAATATTGCCACTTAGCCAAAATGTTTGAGAAGAAGAAACAGGTATATTCAATACTTCTATTATCAAGAAGAAGCATAAAAGGCAAGGTCCCCGCAGGACAGGTTCCTATACAATGTGAGATACACTTAGGAGCATGAGGCTGAACAAAACATGATGCCCCGCTAAATCCGGAATATTAAGACGAGCGGCGAACCAAACACCAAGACAGTACACGCAGAGAGGAAAATATGGTATTTCTAGCTAGAAAGGAAGTGAGAAAACCCCGAGAAGCAGAACATCATGAACCAAATGTAAAAAGCCTTTTAGAAGGTCCTCTAATAAATGGCTCTCCTAATATGTAATTTGCCTGAAGAATGAAGAAATCACATGGGATTTAGGACCACTGACCAATACATGAAATAGAAAATGCACAAAATATAAAATGTAAACAAAATTCCCCATAGAATGAACATCACAATCAGTGGGCATTAACTAAACATGAGGCACACCTAGTGCCCCTCCTGCTGGGCGGCAAGGAAGAGGTAGCGGTGGCCTTTTAACCTCTTGCTTAGCTAGGGAGGAGATGGTGGCTGGGCGCAGAGGCACATGAGATTCAAACCTACAGATGTAGCAAAGCCCCAATAATACAATCGCCAAGATGAGAAATGCTGGTTTGCTTAGAGCACTAAGGCCGACGCGTGAACCACCAACGGAAGTGAAACATGAAACAACTGTGACCAGATGCAAACAACCATGGCTAGAGAAGATTTGGTGGAAGGGAGGAACATGCACTTACATCGGTGTGAAGAGAAAACCAATAGAGAAGCTGGAAGAAGGCGCAGCGAAGACATAGAACATTAGGAGGCTCAGCAGGAACAGTAGGACAACAATTTAACCTGAACCACACTGAGAAAACATTCTCCAAGATCCTGAAAAAATCCATGTTCAAATATTAGTTGTCCCACAAATGTTATTTGTTAAGCTAATACAGATTAAATGAAAACAATAAACTAAAGTACCAAATTGGAGTAACATTCCTTCACTCATGGCCGTACTGAATCCATATCCTCTTTGATTACACTTGGTTTGTATCTGCAAAAAACAAATGGCAGCTTGGTGAAGATTTACAATATAATGCTTCGAAAAAAATACTGCATGCATGTTCTTAAATATTGATTTCTAACTATCGAGAATTGAGATGATCTTTAACATGATCGTCTCCCAGATCCCAATCTAATTAGTTTTCAAATAAAAAGGAAACATAGTTTGAACATTTGGTTGCTTGGAGATAAAAAACTTAGTAGTATAAGAGAGGCTTCTCATAGCTCACAAATATCCCGACTAACACCACCTCTTCTCTACTAACACTGCTGCTTCTTGCGTCCAGTAAGAGGAAAAAGTAGATGTAAGATCAATCACTTTCTAGTGAGTTGCACCTAAAATGGATTTATCATCACATCAACTGAAACAGTGCCACCTTGGTTGGCTTATAGATTATCCATAGGCTGTAGCTCCACGTTTCAGTATGTTTTTTAAGTTTATCATACCAAAACATATGCCAACATCACCACATGTGGAATCATCATGCTTCATATAAGAGTATTACCCTGCACTTCCTCGATGGCTATGTCAAACCCCAAGTTCTTCGAAGGCCCCTATCCGCCGCGGCTCGAAGAGACAAATGACAAGCTTCTTCTCAAGCGGCAGTCCACTAATCGAGCATGGTGTTCACTCCTTTGGACAATGATACAAGCAATCAATTTTTGAAATCTAAATGCTCTTTGAACTAGAGAGAGTAATCTTTACCTCTACAATTGCTTGTGTCATCACACACATCAAATATTCTTGGCAAGGGCACATCACACAACATAGAGTACCAAATCAATCTAGATTCCAAAACACCACCTGAAAAACTTGAAAAATTTGCAGGTCGTCATGGAAAGATGAGAAAAGGGGTTAGAAAAACAGGAAGAAACACACCTGTCACATAGTCTCCTCCACAAACTGGGAGCTTTCTCCTCCTAGCGGCTTGTCCATGGCTCCCTTGACGCCTACGGTGACATGCTCCCCGCCGGCTTCCTTCTCGGACGCCCGCCGAGGGCGTCGCCCTCCTTTCCCTGCAGATCCATGGCACTCCTCCTACTTATCCCTATCATCGGCCTGTCCTTAACCCCATGATGCGTCCACCACCTGGGTCCTCCACTCCCAGCACTGGCTTCTTGGCCCTCCCCTGCTCCTCTACCCCTGGTTTGAAGACATGGCCATCCCTGCGAAGGCCCCTTGTCCGAGGACGAGGGCGATGGGAGCCAGCGGGAAGGAGGAAGGAGGAGGAAGGGGGAGAAGGGATGCGGCGGCCGGCGGCTATCTGCCCGAGAAGGAGGAGGGGAGGGGGTGTAGCGCCTATGGTGTCAAGCGAGGGAGGAAGGAGAGGTTTGGCGGCTAGGGTTGGGGCGGGTGTGGGCTCTGGTGCAGCAACCCCGCGAGGAGGATTGGAAGCGGAGCACACGCGGGGATTGGGCAAAAGCCAGTGCCTTTGTGAAGCAAAGGCACAGAGCGCCTTAGCCTAGCATATCAGCCACTCGTTTTTCATCCGACGCACATGATAGGCTGAAGGCAAAACACACTCAGACTTGATGTTTTTAGGAGAGACAGAGGAATGACAGCAGCGATGCACTAACGCTCTCCAGCCTGAATATTTGCACACAAAATATTTGATGCTAAAGATCATTCGGCTGTCAGTTAGTTCGCTGATGTTTCAAAAATCTGACAATAGGCACTGGAAAAACTGACATTCAGTGTACCAAGTTGACTTTATATCAAAGAAATTTGTACAATCTGTATCACTTAACATGTAAAATCTGAAGCAATCAGAGAAGAAAATACAAACAAGGTAACATCATAATTTCCAAGCACTTGATAATCAATAGTTCTGTAGCATAGCACTGCAATTTTCAAGCACATGACATTGAAAGTCTGAAGCATTGTGAATCACATTTTGTAGCAATAAATACTACTGATGATCAAAGTCTGTTACATAATAGGCCATTTCACTTGTACACTTAGGCCAAAAAAGACTATAGTTATCCCCCAAATATTTCCAAAAAACTATAGTTAACCCCCAAAGTACCATGTAACCAACATCTAGACATTAGAAGAAATTTGCACCATAAAGACTGTCATCACCATCACCATCACCACAAGTAGGGGGAGCAGTTAGGAGCTGAGTAAAGCTCTCAATGGCAATGTACTTTGCATTCTCTGCATTTGGGCTTCTCTTGCTGCCATCATTCTCCACGTCTACTTTGGGCTGCACATCATCCTTTTTCTTTTTTTGCTGCCAATGAAAGTTCCACTAATTAGTGTATTAATAGATGAAAACAATTTTTTGTTATGTCCAGATTAGAATATACCTTTGCTCCCTTTTTGGTTGAAGCAGGAGGTTTAGTTGCCTTGCGCTTGCCCTTGTGCAACTTATCAAGCCAATTATTCTTTCTTTTTGAATTTTTGGATTGAACCTCCTTTTTCTTCAGTCATGCTGCTCTTAGCAAGTCATCTCCTTGCTGCATATTTGGGTCATCATTTTCCTGGGCCTTACTAGGTTCATTCATGTCACTAGTAGATGCATTGAGTTTTTCCTCCAGAATCATCCGCTGCTTCGATTTCAAAAGATTGAAATTCTGAAATTTTCCTTTGGGACGCCATCAAGTGGCGGGTTTGTGGCAAGTGAAGGAGGTGATTATGCTCAAGAACTACATCAGTGACTTCCAAGTTTTCGGACTCTCGATCCAATGTAAGACTCATCCGAGCTTTACAATCAGTTCTTGTTTCAGCTCTAAAGCACTTCTGAACGGATTCCCTTTGCCCTTTTTTCCGATGGCCTTCATTGGCACAAACAAATCTGCAAGAGGTTATCTTACCATCAAATTTGCTCACATTGTTGTACCTTTTCCTCACATCAAAGCCAGCACGACCACCATATGCTCTCCAAAATAGCCAAGCCTCCTCTGAACTTTTAAATAACATGCCAACTTGAGGCATCCCCTTATCAGACTGTGCCATTGCACACAACCCAACCATACATGTATAATCAGATGATCAAATTGCACAACAATAACAGATTTTGTAGATGGAAAGTTGAAAGAATTACTACTGCACAGCCTTGTGCTGTGTACTATACTGCACAACCATGTATTGTATACTACACACTACTACAAGTTTTCTGAATTTATAGCTGCAATTGCTTGTGTGTGTGTGTGTATGTGTGTGTGTGTGTGATCAGAATGCATGAAATTTGTAGAAATCATGGGCAATTTGTTCAGGTCATACACGCATGTGCAAGCAAATAAATATTGTTGCCTAAACTGAACCTGAACCTGTACACGCATGTACACGCATGGGCAATTTACAGTCGAACCTGAATCTGAACCTGAACATTTTAAAGTTAAACATGAACATTCAGTTAGCAGCGGACTAAACTGAACCTGGATTACCTACGGCGGCGGTGGCTGCAGATTCACAACGAAATCGCGGGGAAGATCAGGCGGACAACCATCCTCCACTGCCGCACGACCATCATCCCTCGCCTCCGTGGTGGCGCGACCTTCGGCCCTCGCCACGGCCCCGCCTCGATCTCCAATGGATGCGGTGCGAGGCCCTCCTCCCTCTCCTCAGCGGCGGCGCGGCTCTCTCTCTCTCACGGCGGCACGACGCCGCTCAACTCTCTCTCTCTCCTCGGTGAGCTCGCCCGTCAAACCCTCGCCTCCGTCGAGCGGCGCGGGAGAACTGTTTCAGCCCGCGCGCAAAAACGCCTCGCCCCGCCTCTGTCTCTCCTGAAAACAGCTAGGCTGGGGACGTTTTGCCTTCAGTCTATCCTGTGCGTCGGATGAAAAACGAGTGGCAGATATGATAGGCTAAGGCGCTCTGTGCCATCCCTGCGAAGGCCCCTTGTCCGAGGACGAGGGCGATGGGAGCTAGCGGGAAGGAGGAAGGGGGAGAAGGGATGCGGCGGCCGGCGGCTATCTGCCCGAGAAGGAGGAGGGAAGGGGGTGTAGCGCCTATGGTGTCAAGCGAGGGAGGAAGGAGAGGTTTGGCGGCTAGGGTTGGGGCGGGTGTGGGCTCTGGTGCAGCAACCCCGCGAGGAGGATTGGAAGCGGAGCACACGCGGGGATTGGGCAAAAGCCTCTTCCACGCGAGAACGATCGACCCAGCCAATAAACTCATAGCGCGAGCCCACCAGTCATTGGACGACAAAAATGACCGTGAGGTGAAATTGGGTTTGACAGCAAGTAAACATCCAATGGCTCAAACGCTCTAAATGACCAGATCCAATGGCCAACAAAGGCACAATTGGGGGAGCACCGTGGAGGCAAGTTGGCTAGGAGCCTTATATGTTTAAATAGTGTAACTCTACTAGCATATTCAATGTGCTGACCTACACGGCTGCAACGTCTCATGTTGCAGACTACTCAGACGACGAATAAGGTGCGACAGGTCGTTGTCGTGCACTCAGCTATGACGTTGGAGTTGATGGACTCATTTACCTTCAAAGCTTCCGCAGTTATTTAGTTTAGATGGCCTTAGGCCATTTTATTTTGTGTAATCATACTCTCTATGAGGACCTCGATATAATAAGTGTGTGATTGAACTCTACTATAATTCCTTGAGTATTGTGTGTGTCAGCATTACCAATCCAGGGATGACACTTAAGCATGGAGACTTCGGTCCATTGGGATCGTGGTCGCACAAGATGGTATCAGAGCACATGCTGACAGTAGGACACGACCACTAGGATAAGCCACAGGATTAGTCTTCTCTGCTCATTTCTATTTCTCCTCTATTTCTACTCTATAGATGGAGAACCCTAGGAACAAGTTCACTCAACCCGATGACGACACCCCATTCGGACGACACTTGAAGGAAGTCACTAAGTACCTGAACATCAGA